TATTACTCTTTTCAGAGCCAGATTGAACAGTATACAACAGAGGTGGTCTCCCTGGCGCAGCCCGTTATTTGTTTTAAAAGGTTCATATAGTCCCCCTGAATTCGTTCTCTACATTTAACTTTTTAAAGATTGAGTTTTGTTAAATATACAAACTGATTTGGTATTCCTACCTCTTTTATTTCTTTGAACATTTCTCTTCTATTCACAGAAGAGTCGTAAGCTGCTTTGTAGTTTATAAATATGTGATGAGTATCAATACCATATTCCAGTGTTTTTTAATTTGTTTCAGGGTTGTAATTTGATGTATTGTCGATTTACCACCTCTGAAACCAGCCCGATATTTTCCTACTATCCGTTCTGCATATGGTGCCATACGATGACATAGCACTGTGAAAAATATTTAATACGCTGCATTTAGAAGCGTAATTCGGTTATGGTTAGAGTCCTCAAAGGTTCTGTCCTTGTATATGTTCTTGTGTTCAAATATGTTTAGTGCTGCTGCTAAGTTTATCACGCGTAATCCATTATCGCTACTGATGTTGTGTGGGCTATGCTTTACTATAGTGGGCATGAAAACTCGCTCTCGTCCAAATCCATTGTTAACATTCATTATACGATTCTTCATTTTCTGCTGAACTTCCTCTCCTCTATTTTCTACTGCTACCATAGATTCCCCATCAAACTTGTCTTTACATTTTATATACTTAAGCTTTTTTTAAATTTAATTTTATTATTATAATTTATTATATTATATATATTATATTATATTTATTATATTGCGATTTTAATTTGCTTCTACTTAGTTTCTATTACAACAAATTTAGCTAAAATTAAAAATACACTTTGTTTTCTATCAGGAATCAAAATGTTGACCTGTTATTCTCTTTAAATGTTTCTACATATGTATCGTTCTCTTCTTTCGTACTCCTTTCTGTTAAATGTTAATTATTGTCTTTCTAAAACCATCTTGAAACATTTTAAACAGATATTTGAGACTTTATTCATTACAAAGTCTTTTGTACGTAATTATGGAAAACCCCTACACTTCTTAGTAGAAAATCCCTTCGTTCAATTAATGAACCGTCCCGTTATTGGCTCGTTAACTTTATATAATCGATTTGACAACAAAGAATGTTCCGCTTAATTTCATCTTGAAAATTCTAATAATTTTATATCAAAGCATTCCAGGCCCTTTTCTGAATACTTGAAAGTTTTATACGGTCTTGTTTAAAAATGTCACGACGCAAGTGTGTTTGTCACCGGTTGTTAATCGTTGTTTAAAGAGGTACGAATTTATAAAAATGGACTGAAATTATTAGAAATAGGAGTAGTGTGGTTATTAATAGTATTAAAAAAATTGTACAGACGTTTAAGTCTAGGACACTATAATTTTTTTACTGAATTTGTGTTATTCTTTATAATGTATCTCCCTAAAGTGGTTAGTGAGGTAATAACGATTACTAGTACCTAAATTGAAAACTAAAATTTACGAACAGTGTATCCTCCCTATACTTACAGACGTGGACACTCACCAAGTCTAACATGGATGAAATAGTAAACTCACAAAGAGCGATGGAAAGATCGCTCGGGGTGAGATTTATAAACAAAAAAAAAACAAACAAATTGATTAGAAGCAAAACGAAAGTAAAAGACGTAGGAGAACATGTTGCCAAATTAAAATGGAGCTTCGCAGGACACAATGTCCGACTGAAAGATAAGGGAAGGAACCACAAAATACAACAATAGAGAGCATGGTGAGGAAAGAGAAGCAGATGAAGACCACAAATGAGATAAGCGGATGATATTAAGAAGATCGGAGGACACATCTGGAAGCAAGTGGCGCAAGAAGTATCTAAGTAAAACTCATTAATTTTTTAAATTCCATACCACGTTTAAGGATTATACTATTATAACTGTATTGCCGAATAGTTTTGATGCCGATTCACAGTACGATAGTGCTGACACATGACACTAGCTCTGGTCCTAACCTTTCTGTTCAAATCGTACCCATATCAAAATAATTGCATTTTTTTGGGTTTGTAATAACCCACTACTAAAGGGTCTGAAATACTAATGTGTAGTTTGGGACATTCCCTATCCTATGGCGTTGGCAGTCCAACAACTGTTTTCTTTAAATTAGTCTCTGTAAGTAATAATTTTTTACATTAAGAATTTTTGAAAACTAAGTTGTGTATTTTTACGCATTTTAAATTTAGTTTCTCCTGTTTTATAAAGCAGATGATGAAAGTTATGTTGAAACGAGTTATTCTTTTTATTCAATCTCCCAGTCATATTTTTACGAAATCTTCTGAAGTATGAACTTACGTTAGTCTTAATATGAAGATCTCATGATCAAATTCCAGACACAGGTACCACATGTTCTAAGAGTATGAGAAGATTGTTATTGCGTTCTCCTGTTTTCCTTCTAATGAATGGATTCATATTTAAGATAGTCTATTTTATCCATCCTATTATCCCAGTCAATTCCTGTTTCTTTTCTCGTCTATACCATCTATCCTATTTTATGGGTTTTTGAATGTTCTTATGTTCATTATAATATTGTTTTACAGTTATAAAATTTGAATATCATACCCAGTAGTTTCCCATGTAAATTTTTTTCCAGCTGTCCAACTTTTTTATGTCCGCAAAAAATGATATAAAGGCTGCAATAAACGGAGTGAGCATAATCAGCAGAAGATAATTATGGAGTCATATTTTTAGTTTGACACAATGTATAAGTGTCAGGAGATGGTACGTAGGTGGAGCTACGAAATGTATATGAAATAATAAAGATTGTATTACTTATATCTACTGATTCAGTCGCGTTTTGCAGTGAATAGTGTTGGTAGACAAAACAAATCACAAGTAATAATATACAACTGTCGATCGGTCGACTTGAGACTTGACAGTCGCAATTACAATTTTTATTCTTATTTTTTTTAACCTTTCAGGGATACCATGACATGATGGTACACAAAATGTAACGTCAGACTAGTAGTCCGCAAATCTAGAAAAGGCCCAAAAAACAAATATTTGTTTCGAAAAACGGTCTGAGAACTTGTAGATTATTTAAATGTATAATTAAAATACACAAAAAAAAACATTTGAACACAAATTTATTATAGCTTGTATTTAAACTCATGCTTTGAAAATAGATAAAATATATCTTCTTCACATTTTGAGTACTATAAAACACAAAAACCCAAACTAAACAAATAAAAAACAAGTATTTCTAAGAAATTAATTAAAGACTAAATAAAAAGCAAATGTTTGAAATGCGTAAAGTCGATACATGAATAAACGGAAATAAGTCAATCTTCGCTGCTGTCAAATAATTCGCTGCATACAAAGTTTTGTCAATTTGAGAGGTATGTCTGATTAGTCTATTTTTTGTCTATTACAGTAAAAACAACGACCTCGACGATTAGGTTGTGGATTTGGGGCTGGAACAATTTTTTCTTCAATACTGCAAATTCCTTTTAGTCTTGACCTAATTGATCTAGGAATACGTTTATTCAAAAATCCACGTTGCAAATGATTGTTTATTAGTTCCATACCAAGAGCTTCTAAAAAAGTCTTCTAAGCATTTTGTCTATCACATTAGATTTATATTGATCATCAATGATGATTTTGGGTTTGTCTGTTAATTCGTCTAGCAAATCGTTGTGGTGCATCGTTGAGAGTAAAATAACGTTTTTGTTTTTTCTATGTATATACGACACAATCGTACATTTTTCTCTAAAAGCAAATATACTTGTTTTCTCTGGGCTCCTAGGATCAGTAAATTTAAGCGGAAGCTCTCTTTGTTTTCTCCTAGTGCCTATCATAGTAAGATGATGTTCGTTTAAAATAAGATCGGCCAAGCTGAGGCTTGTAAAAAAATTGTCCATTATTACTCTTCTGCGAGAACCAGATATAAGACTGCCGAGGCGAGGAACAAGGGACATATTATTTGTATCATCTTACAGCTCAACAACTCTACCTTTTCTTACCAGATCAGTTTTAGTATGTAGTATTTGCTTTCCTTTTTTTTAACGATGTCCAATTCATAGCATGTAACTCTTAACATTCTTTGTGGCATGTGCACTCGTGATAGTCTGCATAGAAACGTGTCTGCACCATTAAATAAAATGGGCCATTTATGCAGTACATCACAATAAGTCTAAGTGTAAGGGTAGACTGCGAGCTGATAGGAAATTTTTTAGTTTAACAAATGTTGTTCTTGTATAAACGCTTCTCTTGATTCTTTATTGCACTCAGAGCTCATGACTCAAGAATTTTGGGCCATTCCAGTTAACAGGTTGTTTGGCTTCTCTCTTATCTTCAAAGATCTATTAAGCATAGCTTTTTCGTGCGGTGCAAGATGTACAAGGTCCAAGATCAACTTTCCATCATGTTTTATAGATATTTTAGGTGTTTTTTTGTTATGTTAGTATTTTCTTTAATCTTTCTATGAAAATTTATGTGGAATATGCAGAGACTCTGCTTCTTGATATTCGGCAATTTCCCAGTTCTCTTTAGCTTGTCTGTATTTTTGTTTAATAATACTATTTAGTTAAGGATACTTTTATTGTTGGTGTTGGACTTTTGCAAATCACTATCTCCTCCATTAAACATAAGGTTCTTTAACAATCACTTACTTTTTTAAACCGCGCAGCGATTTAGTTGCAATTTTTTTCAAAGAATGTTGACTACCTTAGAAAAACATTTATGTCTTAAAAAATTTTTTGCTGTCCCGCTTTTGGTAACATATCGCAATAACTTTGTAGAGTAAATACACCGTGCAAAATCTTGAATAACTTCTTTAAACTGTATTAACGACCAGCTCCAATATCTCTTAGGATGTGACTTTGGAGAACCTGACCTAAATTTAGCACTGAACTCACGACCTCGCTTAAACACTCTCTATACTTAGCGTTTAAGACCCACTATTTGACAATTTGATATTTTATAAATGTAAAACCTAGATTAATTTGTATTCTAATTTCTGTTTTTTTTAGCACTCTTAACCGTATACACCTCAGGTTTTGGCATCACCGCTGGGGCCCACAGATTATGGTCGCATAGATCGTACAAAGCCAAATGGCCGCTTAGATTACTTTTAGTTTTATTATTTACTATTACAGGCCAGGTAAGTTCCTAATAAGAAATTGCCCTTATAATAGGTTAGATGTTTCTAGAAATTTAGTGCTTAATTTTAAAGATAACCTGTTTAGACATATTTATTCATCAACAATTTATTGTGTGTGTTTTTTTTTTGGAATTTTAAGGACAGCACAAGTTAGGCTGATTTTGTTGGGTCTGGGGAAATGTAATAGAGTTAGGTTAGTTAGTAGGTTATATTGATTATGATTTCGTTCTAGGGATTTTTTAATTATATTTTATTTGTGTTTTGTCGGTCAGATAGCCAAGCAAGCTGGTCGGTCGGTTTCTCATTTGCTTCACTGCGAATGATTCAGTGGATGTGAGTTCGTGAGTTCTATCCCCAAGCTCGGTGTACAGAAAACAAAAAGGCTAACGCAGCAGGCATATACAGTATGGTGGAAATGAAAGGAATAAATTCGTTATTTCGTAAACCGGAGACTTTAAGGAAAAATCCTGAAACCCGCCGATTTTTATTTTTAAATAAGCTATTCGTAAGAATACATTTTTATTTTTGACGTCATATATGTGAGCGTGATGACGTCATTGCTAAAATTTTTGAATAGAAAGGGGGGTATTGTAATACATCATTTGAAAGGTCTTTTAAATACCTATTCAGCTATATCATATTGTCTAAGTAATTAAAGTTTGTAATTGTTTAAAAAAACAATTAAATTTTTATTATTACAATAAATAATTATTAAGTATTATTCAATAAATACAACGAAATCTAAATTAAGTGCTCAAATTGTTTACCTTCAGCTAAAATACAATGAGAAAGGCGTGCCGCGAACTCTTCTCTAACATTCTCTAAAACTTCCGGAGTTATTTGAACAACCTGATTACGTATTCTTTCTTTCAGTTCATTAATATTTTGTGGTCTATTTTGATACACCTTACTTTTTAAATATCTAAATATCTAAATAATAAATATAAACATTAATTTTCTCTGGGTATTGAGTACGGTAATCTTGCATCCAGTGTGGATTTTCCGTAAGTGTGGATTTACGATAAGTTTGACGATTGACATGACCGTTTAGTAGAAATGTAGCTTCATCAGAGAAAATAATCTTTTTTAAAAACATCGGATCTCTGTTATTTCGTTCCATTATAATGTCACAAAATTAAATTCGTCTATCAAAATCATCTTCGATAAGTTCTTGTATTTATACTAAACTTACTTTGTAGGGATGCCACTTTTCCTTTTTTAGCTGTTTAAGAACTGTTAAATGGTCCATGTCATTATCTAATGCTACTTGCCGTGAACTGTTATGAGGATTATCTTGAAAAGCTAACAGAACATCTACTTGTTGGTTTTCAGCTATTGGTTTTCTACTACCTTTAGCAAGGTCTTTAACATGACCCGTTTCTCTAAATTTTTTCTCAATGTTGCTTACAGTGGATTGTGAAATTGGTTCTCGACGGGGGTATTTATTATTAAATAACGCACATACTTCTTTCTGCGTACGTGTTTTATCTCCATAACCAACCATTATGAACATTTCAATTATTTGCGTTTCAGTTAGCTTCATGTTCAAAGATACAAAGAGTTTTTGAATACGTTACCCCTTTCTATTTAAAAATTTTAGCAATGACGTCATCACGCTAACATAGATGACGTCAAAAATAGAAATGTATTTTTACCTGTGCATAAGTTACGAGAAATGACCAGTGACAGAGATCTTTGGAGACAGATAATACACATCACAATGACTACTACACTCCCTCCGGGGATTCAGCACTGAAAAGAAAATTATAGTTCACTAGGATACTAAGTTTAGTCCATTCTTCATCAATAACCTTAAGAGTTCTTAAGTCTCTTAGTAAAAGAGCCTCAATATTGAAATGGGTCCATGGTATTTTCAGGAGTCTTTTAAATCCCCACATCTCGAAGGCCTCCAACCTTCTCATACCACATGTTCATTGTCCGTGCCTCTGTCTTATACAAGAGAATATATAATATATGTATATTTTCACGATCGATTCTTGGTATCTAGTATCCCGTGAAAGAGTTGTATTAGTAATTCAACTAGTAAAAGAAATTGAACGAAAATGTACATGGATACTTACTTACATACATGAATTACATACACGAATAAACTCATTAGCATTTTGGATAATACTAGAAATACAGTATTGCTTATACGAGTAATTGTGTGAATTTCTATTTCTTTCTATTTCTATTTCTATTGTGTGAATATTTCTTTTGGTCAGCATAAAGGTGTATTAAACCACCCATAACCGACCCTATTCTCTGTTCACAAATTGTTGATAGCACGAAATATGCCTCAAAATCATCAAACGGTCGTAAAATTTGTATCATCATAGGCGTTCCTGAGGTGTTTATTCATTAAAATTAATATTAATATTAATAATGTTTTAATACTGATATATTTAGTAAAAAACAATTAAAACTTTCACGGCTAATGTTGGTTATTATATTATATTAATAAAAATAATAATTTAACCATTAACAATTTTGTAAATAAGAATACCTTATCTCTTTGGATATTTCAATACTAATCTTCGCGTTTAATCACTTTACTAGAAAACCTGGTATTTATATCCGAAGGTACTATCGGTTGCAAGATAATTAGGATGGAATTCCCCAGATTTTTAATAATATAATGGGTATAGATGCCGGATTTGGCCACGTACCTCGTCTGTTTAGTTTATATTCGAAACTTAACTTAAAAGGGTGAAGTTATTACGAACGAAAACAATTTGTTTGTTTAGTACGTTTTTGATCGCATGTAATTTACGGCTCGTCGGTGTTTCCGCTTCTACGGCAGTAATTAGCGTCTCGAATATTTCTTTTGCGAATTATATGCAGTGCGTGAGTGATTTTTTATTCCATATACCTACGAACATATACGTACCTTTCGCTCGTGCTCGTTTTGTTGGATTGTTTGTGATGGCTTCATCATCAACATCATCAAGTTTTACACCGGTACTGTTGCGTACAGTCAGTAAGTCTGTCTATTCACCAAGAGAGAAGACTATTGTCCTGAATGTTCACGATGCTCTGGTTTCTCAGAATCCCACAAACACTGTTCGCAACATAGTCGAAAGTTGTGCCAACATGACTGGCGTAGGGGAGTCAACTATATATAGGTTCCTATCAGAAAGAAAAAAACACGGTATAGCTAACCCAAACACAAACGAACACTTAAAGAGAGGGAAAAAGCCTATTGAACTTGATGAATTTGCCAAAAATGGTATTCGAAGGAAAATTCATGGATTTTTTTTTCAAAAAAGAAATACCAAACCTAAATAAAATTTTACAAGAAGTTAGAGATGATCCGGATTTGCCTCATATCGGACGAACTAAATTGTGGCAAGTTTTAAAAGAATTAAATTTCCGGTGGGAGAAATCAGACCGAAAATCACTTTTGATTGACCGGGAGGAGATAATATGTTGGAGAAGAAATTATCTAAGATCCATACGAAAATTCCGGGCTGAAGGAAGGCCAATCTTCTACCAGGATGAATCGTGGGTAAACTCAGGTCATACTCTAAAAAAAGTTTGGTCAGATAAAAATATATTAAGCTCCAGGCAAGCCTTTATGGAAGGTTGGTCTACTGGTATCTCCCCACCTTCTGGTAAAGGCAGTAGATTAATAATTTCTCACATTGGCAGTGAAAAAGGATTTGTTAAGCATGGTTTGTTGGAATTTCAGTCCAAAAGCACAAAAGACTATCACGAGGAGATGACAGCTGATGTTTTCGAAGAGTATTTTGTGCAGATGATTGAACACATACCACCAAATTCAATTATAGTATTAGATAATGCACCTTATCATTCACGACTAGTAGAAAGACTTCCAACGACTGCGTGGAAAAAACAGGATATTCTTGACTGGCTGCGGAATAAGTACCTGCCTTACGAAGATGGAATGGTAAAAGCAGAACTTTTAAAAATTGCCCGGCAACACAAATCTAAGTTCAAGAAATACGTAGTTGACAAAATGGCGGAAAGGAGAAACATCACAGTCCTTAGACTTCCACCCTACCACTGCGAAATAAATCCAATTGAACTCATTTGGGCACAAATGAAAAGTTATGTGGCTAGAAAAAATACGTCATATAAAATACAAGCTGTACGTGAATTGTTATACGAGTCTTTACAACACATTACAGAACAAAACTGGAAAGATGCAGTAAGACATGTAATAGAAGAAGAACAAAAAATGTGGGATCTTGATAACATAATTGATGCGACCGTAGAGACACAACCGCTAATTATTAACCCTCAAGACGACTCGGATTCCGAAGTTGATCCTATTTATTTTGAATTTGAATAGTTTTCTAATCGTAATTATATAAGGTAAGTGATAGTAGTTGTAATCGTAAGGTATTAAAGGGGAAAGGCGCAAAACGTCGCCTGTCAAAATGTTCAATGTGTTTTAAATGTATCGATTTTTTTTCAAATCCTGAGAAAACTAAAAAGCCTTTTTGGAAAAATTTAAAGGCAGAATAAAATATTTATTAGAATAAATAAAAAGTTTCTTTTGCATGCAATATTTTCAATTAAAAATTATACTATATTCTCTCTTTTATTTTCACCCCTGTTGCATAACATAATAAAATAAACATTGTAGAAGTTTTCAGGGACTTTCTGTAATATACATCAGTATACACATATATAATACCCTCAGTAATAATGTAATCTTTCATTCTGCTTTTAAATTTTTCAAAAATATTTATTAGTTTTCTCCGAATTCGAAAATAATGGATACATTTAAAACACATTTGGTGCCTTTCCCCTTAATTAAATAAATGTATCTTTTACAAATGGCAAAAAACTTTATTTTTGAATAAAATATTTTATTTTATTATAAGTTTTATTAAAACAAAAATACAATTTAAAAAATATATTTATTTAGTTCAAATAAATGTTTCAATCATATACTCTACGACACTGGTCGGCCAAAATACGTTCCTAATCGGATTATAAGCTTGACCGCTGTATTGTATTCCGGCAGATACAAGGTGGGTTAGTCGAAAACATCTTAAATCGTCAGTTTCAGGTTGGTTTTTACTATTATATCGTATTACCTATCCTCTCTGTATTTCAGTTCTCTAATTAGGATTAAACTTGTAGTGAGCTATCAACAAATTGTGAACCGAGTATAGAAAGTTCTTCCGGTGATTTATGTTCTTTGCGCCATTCGTGGTTAGATTTTTATCACGTCTTGGAACTAAAAATGGGTCGGTAAAAGAAAAATTATGGCTATTATGCAAATCGATCTACAGCCAACTAAATATAGAAAGTTACAAACGAAAATTACTTGTGGAATTTTATGGTCTACTCGTGTGTTGAATTCAACAAAATTTCTGAGAAGCTTATCATGGTCAGCAATCAGCAGAAAATCGTTAAATAAATACATCAAGAATGACAAATGGAAAGAGTGTGAGTGTTATGGGCAACGTTTCTTTGTTTAATCGATTGAATATACTCTTTGTTTTAAAATACCGTATAACGATATTGTTTTATTTTGTTCAATACGTTGAAAACTGAAAGAAAAATAAATATATACTTAACTTAATAGAAAAAAATATAACTGGGAAGTAAAATATGACATCAGCAAGCTTTTTTTTTCGAAAGCCATCTGTTATAAACCTGCAAGGTTTAAACATTCATTTATTCATGATACCCGTTTCAAAATTCTGGAACAGGTCTAGGGGATTGGAACATCTGTTTTTAGGTACCATATTCCATTTGGTACTATTTAGTGCCTCTCAATCGCGACATATATGGTTCACTGTTTCAGGTTCTCTGTTATAAATTTTGCAACTTAAGTTTCCACGAAACAGCCTTATTGTATACAGCTGTCCCTTGAATGGCGCATGTGCAGTATGAAAACCTGTTATGCTAAACTGCTTCTCTTCCGCAGTATTTCAGTACTTTTAGCATATATCCCTTGAATATTCATGTTGCGTGTATAATATTCATGGTTTAAATATTAACCGCGACGCCCGCTAGAGTGACATTTACTAACGAAAACATAAATCAGAAATCGAATTCAGTATTCAGCCTAAATCTGTCTTTTCTAAAAGCTGCAAAACAAATAGACGACGAATTCACCGAAATGCACTGGCATGGGGATGTATAATTTGCATTCACGTCATACCAATCCCAGATAACAATATAGACTTGATTCAGACTTGAACAAGTTTGCCATGTCAACTGTACACACTTGGAGCATTAGCCCAGGCTGTGGGGAAAAAAGTACTCTCTAATCCAGGAATTTATGTAATGTGGCCTAGGTTATAAAGGGCAACCTCAGGAGCAATCCCCCAGTTTTATTCAACAAAAAATGTTTGGTTATTGTTTATCTATGAGCGTTTATACGTGCAAAATACGTATTTTTTGAGTTTTTTTAACTTTTGCCTAAAGTAAGTGTTGTAATGGGTAATTTCTGTATAGATTTTAAAAGTACTCTAAAAGACCTTTAATTTTAACCGGTAGACGTTTAATTTAGTTTATTTGTTATTGCAGAAATGACGAATGAAGGTCAAAATTAAAAAACGTATTATTGCAAAATTGCATTTTTATTTATTTTAAATATATTACATTAAGCCTATAAAATTACGAATCTAACGAGCCGTAGTAGGCCTAGATCGCTTAATTTATTGCTGATATACGTTAATTAGTTTATCCCACGATCTTCAACTTTGAATGCTCATAAGATTGTCAACAAAATGGTAGAGGGCTATTTCTTGTTTCATTCTCTTTCTAAAGCCGTAAGTTTTCATATCCCACTGGAAAATAATGGAAAAAATGTTTAATCCATCAAAAAAAAATGATTTATGAAGTTGTAAAATTACAGTTATAAACATTTAGAGCTGCAGCGCCCCCTATGTACCCTACAAATTTCTAATTTTCAAATTATTGTAGCTGGCTTCGAGACGAAGATTAAAAAAAAAATGTTTACGACCAATAGGAGCCGAGTTAGCATAATTTTTTTTAAAAAATCACAGAGGCTTTATTAATAACAATTAAGAAACGAATCTGGCGTCATTCACTACTTAAAAACCTACATTTTCAAGTATTTGTAGTCTCCTTAAGTTAAAATCATTATTTATTGTTAAAAATTACGAATAAAGTTTACCTTTTTTAAGCGTTGGCACAGAAGTAGTGGTGGGGTGACTTTGCGCAACGAGAAAAAAACTGAATCGGAAAAATTTGCAATATCTCGGTAAAAAATGAACCGATTTCGATGATTTTTTTTTTTAGTTTGGGGTAGCTCGTCGAAATATTAACATCTGGAATATTTTCACCCTTAAAAAACCACTCCCAACTCCCCTAATTTTGCCCCAAACTTGAGGCAAGTTTAAAATTAAACATGCCTTAAGTTTGCATGCTGTCTGGTATTCCTCTATAATAGGTAGGTAGTTAAGGGTTGATTTCGTTACAGCGTACCACCATTCGCTAAGGACGCTAAGAAGCAGAAATATAAATATCAACAGATGGTGGTACGCTGTAACGAAATCAAACCTTAACTGTCTATTTCATTTTTATTTTACATTTACTGTAGGATGGAGTACAGTATTGTCCAGACCATACTGTAGTATGGTCTGGACAATATTGATGCCGAGCTAATTAAAACAGGCGGCCATGAACTCGTAAGTAAAATCCATCAATTAATAGAAATGGCCTGGCAACAAGAAATAATGCCGAAAGTATGGTGTGGTACTATTATTGTACCAATACACAAAAAAGAAAAATAGGAATCGTGCATGAATTACAGAGGAATCTTACTAATCAACAGTACATATAAATATTGGCTTCGATATTATTAAAAAGATTAGTACCATACGCCGAAGAAATAGTTGGTGACTACCAGTGTGGTTTCAGTCCTGGCAGATCGACTATTGATGAAATATTTACAATAAGACAAATGATTGAAAAGTATTGGAAATATAATCACAACGTGCATCAGATATTTATAGACTTCAAACAGGCTTATGATTCAATTAGTCCTGCAACATTATGGAAGGCAATGATCGAGAATTGGATGGAGGTCGCTCAAGACAGAAAACAGTGGAGGCATGTTGTCGAGTCGGCTAAAACCCACGAAGGGTTGTAACGCCACGGATTAAGTAAGTAATGATCAAGCTCGGCATACCCAAGAAACTACCTGCGGTAACACAAATGTGTGTAAGTAACTCTTTTGCACAAGTTAGAATAGGGGGAAAAATATCAAATGCTTTCTGCGTAAATTCTGGACTAAGACAGAGAGATCCGTTGTCCCCATTATTGTGTAACCTGGCCTTAGAATATGTCATGCGAAAAATATATCCAAAAATCAAACCAGACATAACTGCTCGTAGAGCAAAAATCATACTCGCCTTTGCCGATGACCTAGACGCAGTAGCTCAATCGACAGTAGAAATTAAGGATATTTTCTCGAGCTTTGAAGAAGCTGAGTTTGTCGTTCTTACTACTAATGATAAATATTCTATTTATTTTTTGTTAGCTCACAAATATATTATATTAATGTTTTATGCATAATAGTCTAATATTTAATATATTTTATTTCGTTTTTTTTTTCTGTAATAAAACTTATATTGATTTTTTTTAGAGGCACGTGTACGCCTGGGCATTAGATCATAGGGTCCATCATAAATACAGCGAGACCGATGCAGATCCCCATAACGCCAAAAAAGGTTTCTTCTTCGCGCATGTGGGCTGGTTGGTAGTGACGCCGCATCCTAAGGTAGTGGAGAAGAGAAATGCGGTAGATATGAGTGATTTAGAAACAGATGCCATTGTAATGTGGCAAAAAAAGTAAGTTGTAATGAAATATTTATCATGGGTATATATTCTAATTATATTTCGTAATGAAAAGACAATTCGTGATAATAGAGATATTCGTGTTAGAGAAGATGCATCATAATATCTCGTTTGTTCTTACGCGGAGAAGAAAACAACAAGTAGAATTCTTAAGTAATAGGTCAGCTACGTTATTTTTCACTAAAAGAATTGAAAAAGAAACCTGCTACGAACATAACGCTTTACTGTATGTAATGTTCATAGATTTCAAAGAAACCTTAATATAATAAAATGTGTAAATGTTACAGGCACTGAAACAACTAGGAATGTCAACAAAGATGATTAAGTTATTGAAAATAATGTTAGAAACAACCAAAATATAAAACGGATAGTTAAGCCAAACAAGGACTGAGGCGGGAAAATCCTCATTTATTAAAACAAGAGACCTACTGTATATAGTAGTATTCTTTAACCTTATACTAAAAATAATTATTAACAGATGCAAGAATGCAAGATAAAAACTGGATAAAAACTTGTTGTGGCACCGCGTTTGCGTTATGCGGATGATAGATCTAATACGTTCTATACACCTGCCATCAAACTTCGCAAACTTATTATGCGCAGAGATAAGAATAGAAAATGTTGCCCTATTATCTACACAGCTTTCTGTTTGCAAATATTTGCCTCGAAAAAGAAAAATCTGACACAAGTTATGTCAAAATTGTCAGCGTGTTTGTCGTTGAAGATATAATTATTTATGTTCTCGGTGGTGCTGATTAACATAAACAAATTTTATTTAAAAAATGATAACCTGGATCAGTACTATATAGCTAATCGTATGGCTTGGTGCAAGAAGTGCTAATGTCACTGTTTGACCAAAATTAGATAGAGTAGTTTTAGGGTTAAAAAATATTGTAAGTATATTTCGTACGATAATTTATCATTATCCTACAATAATTAGAAATTGTTATAATGCCACCTACGTTAGCCAATTAACCATATATTCATCATCATCATCATTTTGGCTTTACAACCCTGTGTGGGTCCTAGCCTCCCCAAAAATTCTCTTCCAGTCGTCCCTATCGATCGCCTTCCTCCGCCAAGCACGTATTTCCATATTTCTCATATCTTGGTCTATGTTATCTAGGAATCTTGATCTGGGTCTTCCTCTTCTTCTTTGACCAATAGGTCTACCAAGGAGCGTTTTTCTAGCTGGGTCGGTTTGCTTCATCAGCATTACATGGTCTACCCACCTCAGACCATATATTAACAACCATATATTACAACGTTATAAAATGTCAGTATTTTTCCGTAATTATTGAATATTATGAAAAACAATAACAGGAATGTGTTTATTTTAGTGTTTCACTCAAATAATCAAAATTTGAAACGTGAGGAACGTCATACATTTTTAATAAAATGTGTAATTTGAACAATTTTTTTTATTTCGAAGTGTATGCTAGACTACTAGTGGTATTGACACTGGTATAATTTGCATTTATATTTACATTTTTAATACTTATCAATTGGTAACAATATTAGCTACAATACACTTTTTGGAATATATATATTTTTAATTAAATTGTATAGCTTTGTGTTTTTTAAAGTTTATATTTTTATAGTTGCTGTTGTGAGATAATAATGTCTTTAAGGTTGTTACCAGGATTGTATTTATTCTAGCCGTTAGGTAATGTTGACAGTTGTGAAAGTACGTGTTTTACGGAAGTCGTAGTGTTGCAGTACTGGCACAAAATCTGATTGCTGGAATTAATTAGGTGTCCATGTGTAAGGCGTGTGTTCATTTGGTGGGAGCTGGTGGTAGAAAATGTTTGGTTGGAGAGCGCTTAACTTGGCATTGTATCTTTTCCAATGGTAATTCCAAAGGCCCATTATTTTTTATTTGAGTGTTCCTTTTAGATGTGATGATGTTTGAATCTATGTTGTTAAATTTAGATAACAGATTTGTTTTGCTGCTAGATCGGCTTTTTCATTACCTGGAATAACAACGTGTGATGGGAATCACAATATTATTACTGTAATTCCATTAGTTTAAGGACGATTACATATACTCTAGATTTCTTGGACTATAAAGGTAGATAGAATGTTACTATCTTATGAAATGCTGGATAATATAGAGTCAGTACAGATTGTTATAGTTTTATTGTCGGTGAATGGAGTTTTCACAGCTTGTAGTATTCCATATAGTTCAGCAGTATAAAAACTGCAATTTCTAGAGAGTCAAAACGTGTTGACAGTAGATGAAGTTGTTGTAACAGCATAGTCAACACCTTCTTCACTCTTAGATGCGTCTCAGTAAAGGATCTTATCAAAGTTGCATTGAGGTTGTATTTCATAGAATCTTTGTTTGATAATGAAAGGTGATATTTTATTATTATTATATTGGGATAATTCGATATTGAAGTTCGAAAGTTTGTATATCCATGGAGGAGTTTAAGGGACCCTGAAAGTGGTGATGGACAACAGATTGATATTATCTAAATACGAAATTAACATATGTATAATGGACGGTACAATTCTAGAATTATTAGTAACTGGTAATTGTCTATTATAGATGAGTTTTCTTGTGGTGTTTGTGGTATTTGCTAGAACTTTAGCAAAAAACAGCAGTAGAAGTTATTGTCGTCTTAGATAAAACGAAGGTTCGAAACATTCTACGTGAATGCTTTCCATCGGACTAGATATAAATTCTCCTAGACAGAGTCAAAGAGAAGTATTTTGGACTGTATTTAGTGAACGCAGTAGTGATCTACTTGATGACATGTAGAGAACACTACCATAGTTAAGTTTGGAGCTGATAAGAGCTGATGTGACCTTTTCATGACAGAATAATATTATGTCATCAGCATATTCCATATTGCACAAGATCATTTATGCAGGAACTTAAATCGTTTATACTCAAGAGAAGTAGTGTGCTGCTTAGGACAGACCCATGTGGGACACCGTTTTTGGTTATGCGATGTGAGGATGTTTTGCCCTTAGTAATTACTTTAAAGGATCGATCTGAGAGAACGTTTTTTATAAATGCCGAGATAGCTTGTTCTGACTTAGTTTGTTTAGTATCACAGAAATCGATATAGAGTCAAAATCGTTTTCGATGTCAAGGGAGATTGCAATTACTTCGTTTTTTTGGATAGCGCATGCGCAATTGTTGATTAAAGAAATAGAAAATTGTCCGTGATACATCGATTTGGCCTGAAGCTTGATTGATATTGTTCGAGAATATTATTTTGTTTAAAGTACCAAAGTAATCTCTTAATAACCATATTTTCTAGAAGTTTACATAATGTACATTATGTTGTTTAACGTGTTTGGAGATTGAAAGCATTTTTTGATGAGTATCGTTAGGGATTGTCTCCATAGTGATGGGAATTTTTAAATTGACCAAATATTTTTGAACTGTTGAAGTATTTTCTTATATGTATTTTGGTGAAGATTTTTTAAAAGGATAGAGGGAATATCGTCTGGACCTGTAGCTGAAAAGTATATTAATGGTATGATTATTATGGCAAGTTTTTTGAGTAGAACCATCTTGGTAGGATTTTTTGATTTGTTTAGAAACTATTGAAAAAGCATATCACTGATTTGTTCGTCATATGTAATGACGTCTTCCAGAATAATGAGAGCTGAAATTTTGTATGATGTGTAATTTTCTTTCATTCTCTAAATTTTTGAACATACTAGAGTTGAGGGGATATCATTGTGTTTTTGCTCTAAGCCTTGTGAAATCTATTAAGTGAGCTATAGTGATAGATTTTCTTAATCTATTTAAAGCTCTTTTGCTTTCTTGAATTGATGTTTTACATAAGTCATTCCACCAGGAAACGTGTTTTTTAGTTGGGTTAATTTTTTATTTACCGATACACTTCTCTACGAAAGAAACTATGCCATGGTTAAGTTGTTTTATGTTTTCGTAGCTGTTATTTTGATATTTAAGTATATTTGTGTATTCTTTTGCAGTGAAATGTTCCCAATTAGCATCTGAGATTTTCCATCACGTCTTTGTATATTCTAATTTGACTGCAGGTTAGTAGTGATAATGGGAAAATGATTGCTATCGAATGAGCTGTCTAGAGTGTGCCAAGTTGGTAATGAGTGTATCTTGGGCTCACATAAGCTTAACTCAATTTCTTGTGTTTAATAAGTTAATATTGTTTTATGTTGGCGTAGGTTAGACCATTCTTATTTTCTTGAATGATTCTGTTCGCCCTTGTAACTGGTGCGCTGGTTTAACTTCGCTATCTATCTATCTATCTAATTAGCCTTCTTCGGTCCATCTTTGGACATAGGCCTCCCCAATCCTTTTCCATTCTTCTCTGTCTGTCGCAACAGTCATCCATCTAGAGCCCACTTGCTTCTTGATATCATGTGCCCATCTCATTTGGGGCCTTCCTCTGCTTCGTTTATATTCCCACGGTCTTCAACTTATAAGAATTTTGTTCCATCGGTCTTCTTTTTATCTTATATTGTGTCCGGCAAAGAGATACAGTCCACTAGTCGCTAGTGGTAGTTGTAAACAAATAAAAGTCAGGATTGGTTTCGGAAATAAGTTGTTGTATGTGTGCCAGGCGATCCATCGCACTTCAATTAAATAATTGAATCTTGATATGTCTGTGAGGTTTCAGATATGTCAAAGATGTACTCATCAGTTGTTACGTGTTTAACTCCAAGATTGGGAAATTTTCTATCTTCATCCATGAAGAGTAAATTTTTTTTAGACTAGCTCGTCTTATAAAAAAATTTAAAGTCAAAAACAAACTCTTAATGGATGATTCTACGAAAATAGACTATTTTTGGTTGATTTCTCGTTAAGGTTGGGATGGATTTATTGTAATGTAGAAATAAGTAATTTGATGTCTGGTGTGAATTTTAATGATTCTGCGTATGGATGACTACTGCCGGAACAGTTTTTAAAAAGAGCAATTATGTTAGCTGCTGGGACTATAAATATTTGTGGAGTTTTTTTATGAAGTTTGTGTATGATCGTTTTTGCCCTT